GTGAAAAAGAAAACGAGAGACAGAGAAGGCTAATAGAACTCCATCATCGCCACACAATGCACAGTTTTTGAAAATCCGTTAAAGAAAACAAGAAAGAGGAAAGCTCCATCCTCAGTTAATTCTGATGATGGAAAAATAGCCAAGTGTAGTGTGTGTCGAGTTCTTCGCCAATAGCAGACCGATTGAGTAATGGATCCAGTGTATGACCTGTGCAAACTGGGCACATGAATACATAGCTAAAAGTAATATTTACATGTGTCGAAATCAAGTCTTATATTTTTTTAAATTTTGTTCTCAAATTCAGTGCCATAAATAATAAGAAATAAAACAATGATACCACCCTTACTTGATCGAAAGATTAGTTCCACCACTTCCTTGAAGAGGCATATAAGTTACATTTGACTGTAAGCAAAAGTGTGGTAATTAGATTTAAAAAAAACTTTATAAAACCTAGAATAGAACTATAATTGTCTTTATTGCGACTTTGAATGCTATATCCTGTAGTGGGTTGAAAGGCCTACCACAATGGACGTATTACCCTGTAAGTGGAGCAAGACATCGCTCAAGATAACAAAAAAGGGGGAGGGGGTTAGGGGAGGGATGAAGAAGGTGGTGAGATAGTGGTGGTGATAAAGGGGGGGGGGGGCGTAGGTAGAATGAGAAAGACGTGGTAGAAAAAAACAAGATATTAATAACCATCTTCCTCATACAACGCCTTCGATAGCTCAGTTGGTAGAGCGGTGGACTGTAGTTGGTTGAGAAGCGGACATCCATAGGTCACTGGTTCGAATCCGGTTCGAAGGAGAATTTTGTAACATGTATTTCCATTTGCACAATTTTCCCGTTGTTCATTCAGCAAGAAAAGTCATCCATTTCAATTTTGCGAGATTTCTAATAATATGATTACGTAAAAACGGTAATGATAATGATAATGATAATAATGATAGTAATGCTGATAGTAATGATCATAATAATGACGATATTAATGATAATGATAACAATGAAAGTAATGATGATAATAATAATGATGATAATGATAATAATGATGCTGATTGATAAAAATAAGGCTAGCCATATTGTTAATAGTTATAATGATAATCGTTACAATGTCATTATTTTTTTTATCATAAGTATATATATGACAAATGTTGCTGTTTTCACTATCATTATCAATATTATCCTATCATACAATTACCATAATGATAACCATAATTACCTTCATCATATGTATATATATATGCACACACACACACACACACACACACACACACACACACACACACACATATATATATATATCTATATATATATATATATATATATATTAATATATATATATACATATAATATACATGTATAAAAAAAAAGAAAAAAAAATATATAGACATATATGTGTATATATAAGATATACACACATTATATATAAGAGATTCATATACATACATATATATTTAAATTTATGTAATATCTATCTATATATATCTATATGTCTATATATCTGCGTGTCTCTGTGTGTGTGCAATGATAACAATGATAAAAATGATTAATAACACTATAATGCACTTTTCATTATAAAAGCAAATGATAACATATTCGCAAAATCATCAGATATAATAAAGACATTAGAATGGAATTCATTAACCTTATGAAAAATGTTCAACGTGACAAATGAGGAAAAAAATATGGATGAGTATGACTTCACTGGTCTCTGAGGAAGCATAGTGTCGAAGCCGGGGTCTGAAAATAGTGTCTTGCGCTGTGAAATAGTGTCATTCATCCTCATTAACCGCATGGGTGGGGTAGGGGTCGGGGGGGGGACTATGAGGGTCGGTCAACTCATCGTGTGAGTTCGAATCCTGTGCAAAGGGTCCGAAATTGAAAGGAGGGTCATCCACTCAGGCAAACGGTCTTTACCTGTCAAAACCATATATATATATGTGTGTGTACCATAATATTCATATACATATATATATATGCATTCATATAAATTCATACATACACATACAAACACACACACACATATATGCATATATTATATATATATATATGAAAGACATGTTCGTGAGTATATTGGATATGGTCACTCAATCTTACGTAAAACCCGTTACATAACCCTATAAACTGAACCTAATCCAAATTATATCAAGGTATTCGGAACTGAACAGCTGGCTCGATACTCTTATCAAGCGAAGGCCTAAGCCGCCACACTGTGACCCCAGCTGCAGCATAAAAGCCACACGCCGTCCAAGGGGGCATCCTCTTCCTCACCCACCCAACACCATGAAGGTCCTCGCGCTTCTCTTGGCCTCCCTCGCCGCCGTCAGGTACTTCTTCCTCTCGCGATGGCCTGTGGTGGGACGTCCCTCCACATCGCGTTGCTTTCTGTCCTTGCTCTTTGACTTACAGGCTACAGTTCTCTTCTCGTATATACGCTGCCTTTTGTTTAGCTTTGGCACTTGTGGTTTCCCTTCTGCAGCGCCCAGACGGAGCCCTGGTGCCGCTGCGCCGCCTTCGTCACCTACGAGCACTCGGAGATCAGGGTGTTCGAAGCGCCCGAAATCACCATCGACTCCTGCGTAGACGACGCCAAGCAGTGCAAGAACGCCTGCACCAAGGAGGTCAGTCCTCACGAGGGGACATCCCTTTTGAACTGCTTTGACGCTTTCTGACAAGGGGAAGGGAAACGGGAAGTCTTTTGGGATGATACTAAGGGCGTCCTTGTGTTGCAGCTCAACGACATGAGCGACAACGGCAACATGTGGCTTGTTCAGGAAAACGGCTTGACTGTTGGCCAGAACATCTGCACTTACATGGCCGACCATTTCTTCTACTTCATCCACAACCACAGGGTAAGTCAACCAGATCTATATTACGAGAAGAAAGATTGGGAGAGAGCGGGGAAGATATGGAGATAAAAGGATGAGAAAGAAAATTACTTTCATTCCGTGACCACAGCTTCATAAATTCCTTTTCGCTGTTGCTGTAAAGATCCAGTTGTTTACCTTTCTCTTCTGTTCATCGCCATCATGGGATCTCCAGCAAAATCATTTCTTACCAAAAGACGCAGAGGTAACCCTCGCCTTCTCCCGCAGGTGTACGGCTACTTCGAGGTGTGTGGAGGCGCCTGGGAGTACACCGGAGTGGCGTCGCAGCAGCTGCTGTGCTGCAACGGAGGCAAGCATGAGCACTGCATCTCTAAGTAACTGCAGTGGAAGACAACTTGAAGCAGACTACGCAACACTATCATGGATTCAGTTGGTCATTTCTAACTCTATTGAGGAGAATGAAATGAAAATAAATTCTTCACCAAACGCGGCCGTTTTACTTATCGGATAATTTCCATAGCGTATGTTTTTCCCTCAGAAACGTGTGATTTCTTAACATAGACGGGGTGATCACAAAAGCATGAGTAGAGTTCAGACAAATACGACGAAAGAGCGGTTAACTGGTTCTCTCCATTTCCAGTTGCAAAGTACGAGCCAGTTAGGAAAACGAGGAGACAAACACGCCAACAGAGGAAAACAGACAAATAAAGTTTGTTGAGTGATCGCTTCATATCAAAACAACTGGATCATTAAGCATCTATGACTAATTCACTACTTTTAACGTTAGATAATTTTTATTTTTTTTTTTTTTTTTTAAGGAAGTAAAATAGTAATTTGCACTCATACTGACAAATCTTTTTGATAAAATAGAAAAACCCAATTGCTAGCTTCATAGGCTTGAAAAAGTGGTTTCCATCTTTGTGCTCTGGTCACTTTGCATGAAACAATTTACTCCCAACACGCTTTGTTTAAACTCCCTTATGAGATAGGAAAGTGACACTCATACTATGGTGAAGGAACAATGATGCCTCGTCAGTGGAAAACCAGAAATAAATCAACTATGGCATGCATATGGTTAAGAATTCGCAGAGAAAAAAAATATTCAAAAAGTGGTCTTGCTGGGAACGAGGTAGCGACGGTGGAGGCGAGGCCGAGGAAGGGAAAGCTGGAAGCGGTGTCTGTGGTTGTCAGCTCCTTCGATAGCTCAGTTGGTAGAGCGGTGGACTGTAGTTGGTTGAGAAGCGGACATCCATAGGTCACTGGTTCGAATCCGGTTCGAAGGATAATTTTGTTGCCATGATATTCATCATAACCACCAACAGCATCGAAGTCGTAGTCTTTTCTTTACTTGCAATCTGATTCAGAACATATAAGCCACATTCATGTATGATAAAGAATGAATTCTACTTGTGCTTCAGCAGCAACAGCTCTCAAAATTACCACATTTTTATTTGTATGATATTGCGTTCCTTTGAAAACCTCTTTTCTCCAGCTATTTTCCCCACCTACAGGTAGCCAAGGGTCAAATCCGTGTCACAAGAATTGCCTGACAAAACTAAAAAAGTGGAAAGCTATTTTACACGAAACATTTTACTCAATAAGCTTTGTTTATATTCCTCGGGGGGGGGGGGGGGTTACGAGAACACCCTTGCCGGGTGAAGGGACAATTATGCCTAGTCAGTAGATGAACAGAGTCTGACCAACTGCTGCATGACAATGGTTAAGTATTCCATGAGGAAACCTTTGTTTAATAAGAATATTCTTGTTTTTTTTTTTCTTTGTCGTCGCCGTTGGGAGCGAGTGAGCGGCGCGCGACGGTGGAGGCGAGGCCGAGGAAGGGAAAGCTGGAAGCGGTGTCTGTGGTTGTCAGCTCCTTCGATAGCTCAGTTGGTAGAGCGGTGGACTGTAGTTGGTTGAGAAGCGGACATCCATAGGTCACTGGTTCGAATCCGGTTCGAAGGATAATTTTCTCATCATAATATTTATCATCAAGAGCAGCAAACAAAGTCGTGATCTTTTCTTTACCTGTGATTTGATTCAGAACGTCCTGCTCGTGAAACGCAACAGTAATCATTTTATCATTGTTGTCATTATCACTTCCATTATCATTGTAATAATAGTGCCTTTGAATTTCACAATTTAAGTAAGCCTAACTTGACAAATTAATTACATGATTTCATTAAACATCAAAAATGTGCATTCTTCAAAATCATTTACACATACATGCATATACTTAGGAAAACATACACACGCCATTTAAGCTACCTACGAGCTCGAAGAAATCATGAAGTACAAAGCACACTAAGTATAATTTCGACATAAAATTGAACCGAAAATTAACGTCAGTGAGCGTAAAATTCTTCCAAGATATTGCTATGTGTACATTCCATTATCGTTAATAGTTTATGAAGTTGCCTCTCCATTTCAGATGCATTCAGTCATAAACAGTGAAAAACTAAATGTGAGTAAATATATGTACTTTATGCATAGTATTGATATCACAACTAAAGAAGAAAACAAAAACAAAAAATAATATGAGGTCACTCAATCACCCTTACCAGTTGCCAAATACCGAATAACGTTTAGTACAATTGGAATACAAAACAACTATACACATGTATGAATATAATTATTTTGTAGATCCAAGGAGTTATTTAGGTACTTTTAGTCATGCACATTTGGTATTAAAAATTGGTAACCTTAACGAGCTAAGACTTTTCCTGCTGCCATAGTGAGTGTCACTCTCATTGCATACAATCAATGAATTGCAAAGCCTAAAGCAATCAGAAAAAAACACAGGTGAAGACGTACTGGCAGCAAGTCAAATGCAAGGCTGCTGTGGCTAGGGTAAACTTCTCCCCACCCTGCAAGCTAAGCAAGTTGCGCGTCCCTTGGGGAGGGTAGGGCAGGGGACGCCCGCCCCACCTTCGACCCAGTGGGCACCAGCCCAGCATGAGGCACGTGGAGCAGAGCAGCCGGGAACCGCGCACGTTGGGCACTGTACCCCCCCCCCCCCCATTGCTTCGGGTTGTGCCAGGGAGGGTGGAATTGGCACCACCTCGAGTGACTGAGGTAGTCAGTGAGTGCCTTGGGAAGGCGGGCTGATGGGCGCTACCTCTCCAAAGACACCCTTTGGAGCCAGGGGTTAGGAGCCAGGAATTGTTGTGAAGCCAAGATGTTTTTACACGTCGTGGTTCACGGCTCCTTACCTCTCGGGCCTCCTTTCGCCTCAAGTCTTGTAGCAAGGTGCGCAGTTCGATGGGTGGCCATGGGTCGACACTGCATCATTCTTATCTTGCCAGGAAGTCATGGGAGCGCTCAAACCTTTACAACTATGAAAGAATAAAGAAATTGCTCATTGGCTTTAATTCTCACATCAAAAGTACTATTCCGGTATTTCTGGGTTTGGGGATAGATTTCCATTGTATTAATATCTCACTTTTTTGGCATAGCCATTTTTGTTTTAAACCATCAAAATACTAAGCTTTCCCGTTGTTTTTCACTGAAGAACTGGTGGTAGTGAAGAAGGGGTGTATACATCTTATCTGCGGTAGCATTAATAACGAATTTCACTGTGTATGGCTGTGAGCGTGTGCGTGTGTGTGTATTGCTGTATATATGTATATATATACATATATATATATATATATATATATATATATATATATACATATATACATATGTATACATACATATATGTACATGTGTGTATATATATATATATATATATATATATATATATATATATATATATATATATATATATATATATAATATATATATGTATATGTATGTATGTATGTGTGTGAATATATATATATATATATATATATATATATATATATATATATATATATATAATATATATATATATATATATAGTATATCCTTCGAACCGGATTCGAACCAGTGACCTATGGATGTCCGCTTCTCAACCAACTACAGTCCACCGCTCTACCAACTGAGCTATCGAAGGAGCTGACAACCACAGACACCGCTTCCAGCTTTCCCTTCCTCGGCCTCGCCTCCACCGTCGCGCGCCGCTCACTCGCTCCCAACGGCGACGACAAAGAAAAAAAAAAAAAAAAAAAGAATATTCTTATTAAACAAAGGTTTCCTCATGGAATTCTTAACCATTGTCATGCAGCAGTTGGTCAGACTCTGTTTATCTACTGACTAGGCATAATTGTCCCTTCACCCTAGCAAGGGTGTTTCTCTCGCACCCCCCCGAGGAATATAAACAAAGCCTATTAAGAGTAAAATGTTTCGTGTAAAATAGCTTTCCTCTTTTTTTAGTTTTGTCAGGCATTTCTTGTGACACGGGTTTGACCCTTGGCTACCTGTAGGTGGGGAAAATAGCTGGAGAAAAGGTTTTCAAAGGAACGCAATATCATACAAATAAAAATATATGGTAATTTTGAGAGCTGTTGCTGCTGAAGCACAAGTAGAATTCATTCTTTATCATACATGAATGTGGCTTATATGTTCTGAATCAGATTGCAAGTAAAGGAAAGACTACGACTTCGATGCTGTTGGTGGTTATGATGAATATCATGGCAACAAAAGTATCCTTCGAACCGGATTCGAACCAGTGACCTATGGATGTCCGCTTCTCAACCAACTACAGTCCACCGCTCTACCAACTGAGCTATCGAAGGAGCTGACAACCACAGACACCGCTTCCAGCTTTCCCTTCCTCGGCCTCGCCTCCACCGTCGCTACCTCGTTCCCAGCAAGACCACTTTTTGAATAAAGTTTTTCTCTGCGAATTCTTAACCATATGCATGCCATAGTTGATTTATTTCTGGTTTTCCACTGACGAGGCATCATTGTTCCTTCACCATAGTATGTGTCACTCTCCTATCTCATAAGGGAGTTTAAACAAAGCGTGTTGGGAGTAAATTGTTTCTTGCAAAGTGACCAGAGCACAAAGATGTAAACCACTTTTTCAAGCCTATGAAGCTAGCAATTGGGTTTTTCTATTTTATCAAAAAGATTTGTCAGTATGAGTGCAAATTACTATTTTACTTCCTAAAAAAATAATAATAATAAAAATAAATAAAAAATAAAAATTAAAAAAGACGTAGTGAATTAGTCATAGATGCTTAATGATTCAGTTGTTTTGATATGAAGCGATCACTCAACAAACTTTATTTGTCTGTTTTCCTCTGTTGGCGTGTTTGTCTCCTCGTTTTCCTAACGGGCTCGTACTTTGCAACTGGAAATGGAGAGAACCAGTTAACCGCTCTTTCGTCGTATTTGTCTGAACTCTACTCATGCTTTTGTGATCACTTCGTCTATGTTAAGAAATCACACGTTTCTGAGGGAAAAACATACGCTATGGAAATTATCCGATAAGTAAAACGGCCGCGTTTGGTGAAGAATTTATTTTCATTTCATTCTCCTCAATACAGTTAGAAATGACCAACTGAATCCATGATAGTGTTGCGTAGTCTGCCTCAGGGTGCCTTCCACTGCAGTTACTT